CGCCCTGTCCAGCGCAGGAGAGCTGTCCGGTGCATTGGACCCACACAGCCCCCCTTGCCCACCAGCGTGGGCACACCGCCGGTCACCTGGCTCTCTGTGCAGTTCCACCCAAGTCCACGGGACCCCAGGGATCCCAGGGTGGGCACCCCACCCAGCAGCCACTCCCCTTCAGGGCATCTCTGTGTGTGCTGCTCCTCAATAGGCCTCCGCATAGCTCTAGGACAGTCTGACAGGACAATCACCTTGGGGAGCGGGCAGTGTGAGCTGCAGGTCACCAGCAGCGCTGCACATGCATTGCCACACCCGGGGCCTGTGGAGCAACCAAGGTCACCTGGCGACGCGAAGTTTGCCCGGCCGTGACAGTGGTCACACGGAGCCGGGCCTGGCCGTGACGTGGTCGTGCGAAGCTTGCCTGGCCGTGACAGTGGTGATGTGAAACTGGGCCCGGCCTGACAGTGGCACGCTCTGAGGAAATCGATGGACCTCGCAAGCTGGAGGGCTGAGGACAGCGACCAAGTTCGTGGCCCTCCAGACAAAACCCCGGTAGTCCCCAAGCTCTGAAAATCCAAAGCATGCGGTCACCAGACAGAGAGAGACAGAAAGTAGAAATCACCCTTCGGGGGGATGGCCATGCCACGATCCCTTCTCCATTCTCTCGGGATCTTGGGCACGCACGCACACACGCCCAGTGTGAGTTTAAGCCACTGGGTCCAGGACTTGAACCGTGGTTGACTACGTGGGAGTCCAGCGACATAGCCATTATGCCAACTGCTGGTCTCATAAGTAAATAATTTTTAAACCTATGTTTTGCTTTACTTTCTTCCTCTTTCTTGTACTTTAAGGCTTAACTGGTGGTTGCGTCCAGGATGGGAGAGCGCTGAGCTGAGCCATGTAAAATGCTTGGTTTTTTAGGTCCAGATCTCTAAATGAGACACGGCCCTGCAGCATGGAATAAAGTGCATCCACCATAGAGTAGGCAGCAAGGAGTATTTAACAGGAAAGGAAGATTGTAGAAAGAAGTGCACTCAAAAGCTGTGTTGGCCAGTGGGCCGCTAGGTAGCAGCAGCGTCTGGAGCTGGTTAGGCGTTAGTTTTGTTAGTAGAGGTGATGGTGGATATTTCCCTGTGGGAGGCCAGTCACGGTATCTGCGCTCTTTGTTTGAATTCAGGAACTTGCTCCTGGCAGGCACATCTCTCTCACAGGTGGGAAGTTGGGATCTGCCTCCCCTTCCCGCCTTCCCGTGCCAGGAACTGGTGGGAGGAAGGGGCCTCTGCAGACGGTCTGGTTGTAACTCCCGATACATTGTGATTGCTGTGACAGATGTCCTGCATTTCGGGAGGCAGCAGGCTGCAGCCGGCTCACTGTCCTATCTTAGGGCTGCCTGCTCTTCCTAGCAAATGCCTATCACAGTAGTAGTATTTGTAACTAAAATCATCTGTAACTATTGTAACAAAGAAGCCTGTTTGCTTAGAAGAGGGAACAAATCACTCTAGACAATGGTCACAAAATTGCAACTAGGACCAGGTCCCAGGCAGTAATATTAAGCAAGGAGGGTTACTCAAGGGCACAATGTAACAGATGGCACTGAGAAATCTGTAATGATGTTACCTTACCATAACAGCGACTCGCAGATGTTTAGACTGTCTTGTTAAAACAATATAAAGACTAGTATAAAGAAAATGGTTTGGAACCAGCTGGTGGTGCAAGGGTTACATTGTTGGACTCCCACAAAGCAGACCGCGGTTTGAGTCCTGGACTCTCTGGCTTAAAACTCACACTGGACATGTATGCATGGGTGCTCAAATCCCAAAAGGAGAATGGAGGAGAAGGGATTGCAGCGTGGCTACCCCCCACTCCCTGGGGGGGGCGGTTTCTCGGTTTCTGTCTCTCAGTCTCTTTGTCTCTCCAGCAAGTGCATGTGCCCTATACCAAAAATCTTTCTTTTAAAAAAGAAAATACGTTGTAGCTTCCCTGAATCCAGCAACGTAGTTCAAAAGTCTGCATCATCAGATTCAGTGTCACCCTAAGAACAAACACAGGGACCCCAGCATCCCGTGAAAGGAAAAGGGGCACAGAACGACCCTGGGAAACCCACGAGGGTGGATAACCACGGGCCACGGGCGCGAGAAATGGAATGCACGGAACGCTGGGAATTTCTGTGCTGGCGTCGGTGGCGACGCCATGGCAACGTGCCCCTTCCTCCCCCTGCTCTGCCCCTCCACCACTCACAGCAAGGGCTGCTGGGTTTCAGGAGGCAGCAGGCTCAGTGTCTGGGAGGCGAGTTGGAAATCCAGGTGTGGACGGGTCCTGCTGCCCCAGTGGGCTTTGGGAGAACTTCCCAGCCCCCACGGCGCTCACCCGGCCTCCCTGGCTATCTGGCGTGAGGCTTCACTCCAGTCCTGACGTCTGTCCTCACACTGAGCCTCCTCGTGGGGGTCCCTGCCGAGCTCCCCCTGCTTTTCCCCTGTGAGGACACTTGCCGTCAGATCTGGCCCACCTGGGAGGCCCAGGGTAAGCACTTCCCTTCAAGATCCGGGCTAAAGATACAGGAAGGTTGGGATCTTGAAGGGCAGTGGCCGAGGGCTGCGAATGGGAGGGCTCAGGACACAGCCCTGCAGGCACCCGGGCTTCACCTGCCACTCCCGCCCGGGGGGGGGCTACTTGGAGACCTGAGCCTGCACCCGTCAGCTGGGCAGGTCTGGTGCCGAGCTGGTCTGCCCGCTGTGCTGGCACACGGGGTGGGGTTGGGCGCTGTGGCCGGGCTGGGCATGGTGGCCGGACAGCCAGGCCAGCCAGAGCTGAGGACTCCCTGGCCTATCCCCGGGTCCCCACGGGGGGCACATCCGTTCACACAGCAGGACCCACGTGAAAACGGGCTTCGTCACAGGTAGAAACCCTTCCACCCAGGAACCACGAGCCAAACGAGCTTTCGCTTGGCTCTGCCGTGCCCACGGGGTGCAGCCCAGCAAGCTCCCGGACCGCAGAAAGGCTTGGCCCACAGGATGCGGCCCAGCGAGCTCCCAGACCACAGGACGCGGCCCAGCGAGCTCCCGGACCACAGGAAGCAGCCCAGGTAGCTCCCGGACCACAGGACACGGCCCAGCGAGCTCCCGGGCCACAGGACGCGGCCCAGCCAGCTCCTGGACCACAGAAATGCCTGGCCCACAGGACGCGGCCCAGTGAACACCTGGCCTACGAGCAGCCTCTTGCAGGGACGCGGGGTCGGCAGTGTGGGGTGCGATGGGGCTGTGACTTGGGGGGCAGGAGGAGATAAGGTGGGATTTCGCAGGAAAGGTGGTCCTTGCACCGAGTGGTTTTCCTTTTCTTAGATTTTTGTCATAGGGTACATGTGCTTGTTGGAGAGAGACAGAGACAAGGGAAAGTGAGGAATGAGCCGGGGGTGGCCGTGCCTCAGTCTCTTCGCCACTCTCCTCTCAGCAGTCCGAGCATGCACGCACACTGGTTGGTGTTTTTCAAGTTACTGGGGCTGAGATTCGAACCGCAGAGTCAGCCATGTGGGATCCAGTGCCTTAGCCCCCACGCCACCTGCTGGCCAGGTGCGGGAAGCGTGTACAGCCGCTCACCTCTGCGCGGGCTCCACGAGGCTCTGGGGCACCCACTGAGCGCTGCGCACCTGCACTCGGGCCAGGACATCCCGACCTCCTCCCTCGTCCACCCCAGCCCCGACCCCCTTCCCGGCAAGCACAGCTCTGACTCCTCCTGCCACGTGCCCCCCTCCTGGGACTCTGTACCGTGTGCTCTTGGATCCTCCAGCTTCGTGTGGGTGTCACGCTGCACGTCCCCACGGCACCCTCTGTCCCCTCCGATGCCGTGTTTGCGTCTGAGCCCCTCAGGGCGGACTTGCGGGTTGTGAGTGCTTGCTGTCAGCTGCGCTGTGAGCATCTGACCCACGGCTGTGGGGACACAGGGCTCCCTCCAGGGGTCTGGATCTAGAAGTGGACTGGCTTGGGGGTGGGGGTGGCCGGCTGGGTCTGGCTTTAGCAGAAACTTGCCAGTGTTTCAGGCAGCGCCCCCGCCCCGACGGTGGTGGAGACTCCGGTTTGAAGTGTCTTTGTCTTCATGTATGTGCCACAGGGGCTTGCGGGAGCGGCAGAGGGAGGTCACAGCTGGGGAGGGGCTCTGGGTACAGGGAAGTGACGAAGACTGTGACAGTGCACGATCTCGGCCTCCAGCGCCATGGGTGGCGCCGCCCTGGCTGTCACGCCACCCCACCGCACTCTGCCGGGACCACTCTCCAGCTGTAGTTCAGGGGTCCTGGTCAGCCCGGCGCCACCAGGGTGTGGGCTTCAGCCTGCGGTCCCATCGGCTTGCGCCCCTCCACGCCCTGTCCCCTTCATGGGGGTCGGACCTCACAGGGGCCCCCAGCAACAGAAGGCTAGAATCCTCTCGGGCCAAATCTGACCCAGGGTTACCAGCTGTCCCCAGGGGATGCCAGACCAGCCAATCTGCCGCGTGTCAGCTTGGGACGAGGCGAAACTGCCGACGGGAGAGCCACTGTGCGGCCAGACTGGTGGGGACACGGCCTCAGGTTTCGGGTGTGACGACTCTGACAGAGCCCCCAGGGGTCGTGGGTTGTTGGCCAGCTAGCTAATCTTGGGGGCTACTACCAGTGCGGTCTCAGCTCCCCACCCCAGCAGCCACCTGGGGGTGCAGGTAACAGTGCCCCTGAAGACGTGTGGTGTCTCCTGGAAGGAAGTGGCTCACCAGTCGGGCTGGTGGCAGTGTGCCCTGTCCTCACCCTCCGAGACCGGCCAGGGTGTCCACCCCAGCTGGAGTAGTCTGAGTGCTGAGCTGAGGCCCCGGTACAGGTAGCTCTTCCTTACCTTGGGCCCTCCTCCAGGATTTTACCCCCTGTAGATGGGAATGTGACATCAACCCGGAGGGTGGGGTGACACCCAGCCAGCCTCCCAGCTGCCACTTCTTGGCCGTCCATCTGGGTGCCAAGCAGCCCTCCCTTCCGTCCAATGACAAGGCTTGACTGAAGTGTGTACAGTCATTTAATTAATGTCCCAAACACCCTCCGCCGGGCTACAGGGGAATTTCGCAGTGACAGAAGCAGATGAACCACTCACCCACCCGACCACACTGTCACTGGCTTCCAGACGCCTGGACACCAACGCGGAGACTCAGTAACAGCAGGGCGGCCGAGGCAGAGGGCCCCGGGACACTGGATGGGAGGAGGGTCCCGGCCGGGCCCCTCGTGCAGGGCTATGTCCGCCCTCTGTGAACACCACGTCCTGGGTGCAGGATACCCCAAGGTGCAGGCCCAGTGCAGCAGCTGGATAAATAAGAGCCTCCCAGAGACACCTCCGTGGGATCAGCGGGTCCGGGATCGAGTCGGAGCCTGGAGGAGCCGGTGCGAGGCCGGCCCGGCCCCTTGCTACGTGCCACACACCAGCACGTCTGCAAAGGGCCCCAGGAGGCTTCTGTTGAAGATGCAGCGCACCCACACCAGGTAGGTGGTGAAGGGCTTGATGTTCTCAGTGAAGGTGTGGTTCTGCAGGGCCAGGACGTAGGGCGCGTAGGTGTTCTCCCCCTGCTCCTGCAGCCACACCTCGTACCTGACCTCCCTGACCTTCAGGTACCTGAGGTTCCAGGGCATCTGCCAGGACACAGTGAGGCGGGCCTCGGAGGCGCCATGCACCGACGCCTGGCACCGCGCCTCCCGCACCTTGCCCGGGTACAGGCTGACCGTCCACTTCTGCTTCCGCGGCCCCGGCCGGCCCTGCACCGTGCGGCGGATGGTCTGGATGAGGGACGGGAGGTCCACCTTGGTGTCCTGGTAGATCCGGAAGAGCCACTCGGGGTTCCGGCAGCAGAGGTGCCGCGGGACCTCGCGGCTTTGCAGGATGCGGGCCTGCTCGGCGCGGTCCAGGTGGGTGATGCCCCCCTGGTCCCAGGGCCGCTCTGGGTGCGTGACCGTGTTCTCGGGCAGCGTGTTCCGCCAGGCGACGTACTGCAGGTCCATGCCGGGCAGCGTGGCCAGCGTCTTGTAGGGCGTGTAGTGGTCGGGGTTGACGGCGTACGGGAAGAGTTCCACCACGGTGGCCCCTCGGGGCAGGAAGAGGGCGGTGACCAGCTGGGCCCCGTGCATGCTGACCAGCATGGAGGCGTTGCTGACCAGCCGCACGATGTCGGCAAAGGCGTGGTCGTCCAGGGACACGGTCAGCGTCTTCATCTGGAACTCCTGGGCCAGCGCCAGCAGCAGCTCAGCCTCGTTCAGGATGAGCCTGTTCTGGCCGCGGCTCAGCACCAGGATGTACTCCTCGCCCAGGGCGGCGCCCGCGTGGCTGGCGTTCAGCTTCTCGGTCATGAACCGCGCGAACTGCCGGATCTCGGTGCCCGAGACCAGGATGTTGGCCTTGGGGCCCTGCGGCTGCACGAAGCCGTACTGGTACCAGGTGGTGACCTTGGACAGCCCCACGAAGGCCTGGGAGAAGCACAGCAGCCGGCCCAGCGCCTTCAGCTGTGCCCGCAGCAGCGGCTGCTTGGGGCTGAGGAGCTTGTAGAGGTCGAAGTGCGCGCCCTCGCCCCAGCCCTCCATGAAGAGGAGCCGGGCCTCGCGCGCCAGGCCGGGCACGTGGCGCAGCGTGTAGAAGAGCGGCAGCAGGTCGTCGTGGAACACGTGCATGAGGTTGTCGGGGTTGAAGCGGTTGGCGATGAGCGCGGCGTCGGGCACGAACACCGGCTTGGGCAGGAAGCGCAGGGCGGCGGCCGGCAGCTCCACGAAGTTGAAGTACTGGGCGCTGTGGTCCTCCACGCTGGACAGGTCGAGCAGCGCCGGCTGGAAGCGCCGGGAGCCCAGGTTGGGCAGCATGGCCGAGGCGTTGCCGTGGAAGAAGACGAACTCCTCGGCCTCACTGGAGTAGCAGAGCCAGGCGAAGCGGCAGATGCGGTCGGTGTGGGTGCGGCCCGTGCACACCATGCGGGTGCCGCCCTCGGTCAGGCTGCGCAGGGCCTTCGCGTAGTCGGTCCTCGGCGAGGGCGCGGGCTCGGGGGCCTGCTGGCCCAGGGCCAGCGCCTCCTCCAGGGTGGCCGCATGCTCCCGCAGCCGTACATGCTTCCACAGGACGGCAGCCCGG